TACTAAATAGAATAATTTGTCTGTTTCTATTTTCTATATAACTTTTGTTTTGTTTTTATTATATTATGCGCAAATTACTTACTTGAAGATTTTATATTTTCAAAATGTTTATATTGTTATTTTTGATGGAATTTTATATATTTTATTAATATTTTTTAATTGAATGTGTTTATTAAGATAAAAATAAAATAGAAAAAAAAAAAATAGAAAAAATTATTAATTGTTTAATTTTTTTTTTAATTATTAAAATTTTTTTTTTATTTATTTTTTATAATTTTTAAAAATTAAAATACCATAAATTAAAAAAACTAATAATTTTAATGTTTATTTAAGAAATTGTTATTATGATTATAGATAAGTAATCACCAATTTGTATTGTTTGTATCAGATTCAAAGATACTTACGTTAACGAGGTATTTTGATTACCCTATAAGGTTTCAACCACTGGTAACCTTATAGCTGATACAAATTATACAAAGAAGTGATTATTTTTTTTAAGTTAAGTATTTAATATAACTAATATATTAATATGTAATAATTTAACTATATATTTTACTGATTAATTTAAAGCATTTGCTTTTAATTATCTTCACTTTTAAAAAAAAAAAATTTAACTATATATTAATTTATTTTTAAAATTATTAGGGCAATAATCAAATTCCTCAAGATTAGTTCATTCAATAAAAAATATATATAATGTATATAAAATCATCAACTAATAAAAAAGAATTAAAATAAATATTAGAGATAAATTTAAAATAAAAAAATAAAATTAAAAAAAAAAAAAAAATCTACTTCTTATTGTTATTTATTTATAAAATAAATTTTCCTTAAACTTTTTATTTTTTTTATTTTTTTTCGTTTCGTTTATGTACATAAGAAGTTCCTTAGTAATTTTTGAATTAAATGCGCACCAACCACCATGGAAGCTGAAATATAAAAGTTAAAATTGAAAAACAATCAAGACTCTCTATTTAGACAACCCCGAGTGTGATGGCAATTTAATTTCTTTTAATCTTATAATTTTAAGATCTTCTTTTAATCAAAAGGAAGCTATAGTCGTAAAAGCAATCGACATGTTTGATTAAAACCATGGATTAATTCGTAGCCTCTATCTGTATCATGGAATATCTTTTTTGCTACTATTTTTTTTTCTAATTATTGAATTTATAAAAATGGTAAGAACATCTACCAATAATTATAAATAATCTAATAAGGTCTTCTATTTGAATTCCTAACCAAAGAATTGAAACTTATATACCAATCATTATTATTTTTATCTAATGTAGTTATATTATTAAAAATTGGAGTTATTTTTATTAAAATTTTAATGATTTTTAATTCCTCTTTAATTAAATTTCTATATGATGACGGTGGTGGAAGTGTTATATTACCATTATTAATTAAAAATCCATTACTGTTTTTATTGTTGCAACCGCTACTACAGCTACTCCCATTGCTCTCATTACTATTACAACTGTTTATACTACTACAACTTGCGCTTTGGGCTAAACTAATACTATTATTATTTAAATTGCCAGATTTTATTAATATATTCATTTGCCTGTATTATAATTAATAATTTAAAGTGTTAATACATATTTTTACTTTATAACAATAATCAATTTATCTGTTAATGTTATTACCACTTACTTTTAATTTAATTTCTAATTAATTCCATAATTTAATTCTATCAAAGTAGAACTGGTTTATTGTGGTTGCAGCTGCGGTTGGGAATGTTGGATGTATCTATTGTAATGTTTCTTTCTGTAATATCAACTGTACTTCAGTTGATTGAATGCCTTCGATAATACCCAATGATGGATTTGTTGGTTCCACCTCATTTGCGAAAAATCCTAGTTGTTTTTTTTAATTATATATTCTATCAATTCTAAATTACCACTTAATGCAAAGTGTTTTAATAGTTTATTAATTGATGCTTTATTGTATCTTGGGTTTAGAAGAATTTCGATCGAATATGAAAAGATATTAAAACTGAAATTTTTATAGATGCAATATTTATCTGGAACAATTATAAAAAGTATTGAATCTTCTTTTTCAAATAAAAAATAATAATCTAATGGTAATGGATTTCTATCTAAGCCTATTATTTGGTATAAAATATCAATATATTTTAATATTATTGGTTTGATTTTATAATTTTCTTCGAATATTTTGAAAATAACTGTTCATAGAATGCTGTATTCTCTGGTGTTTCCTCGATGATTCTCCTACAAATAGATTCATAACCTCCTTTTTTAATTTTAAATTTTAAATATTTGAGAAGACTTTACTTTATCTTTTAAAATTGCCTCTCCATTTGAATATCTAATACATTAAATAAAGTTTCATAACTTGATATTTGATCAGGTTTAAAATTTGAAAATATTTCCTTGTAAATTGTTTTGTTTCTAAATATTTCCCAGAATAAATATTCATGTGGTTCGATATCTTTAATTGTTAATTGTGCTCTTTCTTTATTGAATGAATTGATCGATTCTTTTTCTTGATTTTCATTTGATAATCTTTGCTGCAACTCTATGAATTCTTTTATTTTATCATAAATATCTCTTTTATTCCCCTGAAATACAATGCCTAGTTTATTTGCATATTCTTTTAAATATACTGCTCTCAAAAAAATAAAAAATAAAAAATAAAAAATAAAAAAAAAGAAATTTTTAAATTTAAAAAAAAAAAAAATTATAAAAATGGACAAAAAATCAAATAATAAAAACTAAATAACAAAATTAAAAAATAAAAATAAACCAAAATTAAATTGATAAAATTCGTGTTAACCTTTGGTCCACGCAAATATAATGGTTTCTGTGGTTATTGATAAAAACAAAAAAAAAAATTGCTCTTTCTTAAAGTTTAAATTTTATTGATTAATCATCGTTCATTGTTTGTGATTGACTAATCATATCTGGTTCATCTGGAATAAAACATGTACTTGGAGTTCCATTGGGCCATACGATAGCACCCTATTTTTGGAAAAAGAAAAGAGAAGAAAAAAAAAAACAGTTTAAAATTAGTTTTTCTGAATTTTAATTGTATATTTAATATTATATCTTTTATATATATGTTAATTACTTACCATTATGGCATCAGTTGGAGCAGAAAAACCATCTACTCTATGATTATATATACCGTTGTTGGTTACAGCAAAATTTTCAGAGAGGCAGTACACCAAAAAATCGTAGCAATTTTCATTATAGTATATAATATCACCATTTCCACACGATAAGCGATCTTCAATTAAAATACGTTGGATATCTTTATCAGTTACATCAACATTAATAAATCTAATTGGTGTTTGTCTTACAATTCCAAAATATTGGTATATTGTTTTAATGTCCTTTTCTAATTTGACTAGTGCAATTGTTTCATCGATAATGCTGAGTGGTGCTGAATTAGAAATGGTGGGTCTGAAAATTACATTTATTTTACGATTTCTAGTTTGGCCAATGGCTTCTTGATTTCTTTGAGTTATACCTGCATAATCTTCCATTTGGAATCTAAAAGCTAAATCTTTTATTAATAAATGGTTATTGTGATTATAATCGCAATGAGGGTCATCAAAATCACAAAAAATAATTTCATCTTTGAGGATTGGAGATAAAAATAGACCGATTTTTTGATCAATTTCGAAGGTTCGAGTTGCTGTTTGTATGTTTTTTAATTTCATTGGGATATAGATTCCTTTTAATAAACTATTGAAATTTTTAATTTTAATATTATTATTATATGTTAAAGAGCCATCTGTGCCATAATCTACAGATGGTTTTGTAGTTTCGGTATCTATTATTACTTTGGGATTGAAAGATTCATATTGATTATTTTGTTGATTTAATTTTTTAATCTCCATTACTGGTCTTTCTGCTACTGGATAAAATCCATTGTTTTCTAAACTACTATAAATTCCTGTGAAATCAATTTTAAAACCTGCTGTACCAAATGGTATAACTTCTGGTCCAAATGTTTGATATGCTGGGGTTACTGGAGGGTCTGCAATAACAGTGACACGTCTTTCATAGTATTCAGCTAGATAATCTAATTTTTTTGAACAAAATGCACAACCACCTCTTGATTCCTAATAAATATAAATAAATCAGTTAATATAATAATAAGTATATAAATTTAATATGCTTTTAATTATTGTTTATGGACAAGTTACTTGTTTACCTTGCCAATTTAGATCACCAATACCTTTTATAAATTTTAAATTAATTAGTACATTTTTGTTATATCTTAACTCGGTTGGTTTGTATAATTAAAAATACTTACAAAATAGATTCCCAGTACTATCGACTAAATATGATATCTTTGAATGTTGAGCACCATCGGTTGTATATTCACTAACAGACCATGGTGCGTCAGTTCTACTGACAAGATTCATTTTATCTGATGGTTTTGCCATTTGATTTTTATTTTTTTCACCACCCTTCTGCATTGTATTAATAAGCCATTTACCTGTTTTTTGATGGTTGTTGTAATAGTAATCTGCTATATAATCCCATATCATATTAAATCCTCTTTTTGATAATGGGTATTGTGCCTTTTTTTCATGAATGTAATTGTTTGAGGTTTGAACAAAGTATTGACCATCACCATTGGATTGATCCATTACCTTATTGTAATGTATACAGTCTCTATCACCCACTGCTGTGAAATCAAATGAAGAAAAATCTTTGTTACTGATTAACTTTGCCTATTAATAATAAAATTAAAAATTAGAATTTTAATACAAACCAATATAAATTAATTTAAAACTTACAACTGTGGACCATTTTAATAATTGGATTGAATTTTTTGACCAATGATTTGTAATTGGATCAAAGATAAGCGTTTTGAAAATTCTTAGATCAAATTGATCAAATGTTTTCTTTATGGTTCCAAATGAAGCGATTTCACTATTTGAAAAATTGTCGGTACCGATTAATGGGCCAACTCTAGCTCTAATTTCATTAAACTCTGTCAGACTTGATAGCTTGTTCGTTATATCTCTAAGGTTTTTACCATTAATTGCATTAATAATAAAATCACCATAAATTAAAAGCTTTGGAATAATATCCAATTCATCTGATGATAAGTTGATACAAACTGAATGCTGACCCAAATTTTGCTCGTTTCCTTTATCAAAGAATTCACCAGCACCATCTCTTACAGGTGACTTAGGATAACTATGAATAACATGAATACCTCCTATAATTAATTAATTTTTTTTTTTTTTTTTTTTTTTTTTTTTAAAAAATGAAGATAAAAAATTAATAATTAATATTTTAAATATTATAATAATATTTATAAAATGACTATATTTACCTAGATTGTTCCAAATAAAAAAACCCTTGGCATGTGCACCTTTACCTGGATCATCACTAGTTGTAGGATCGTTATAAACTACACCATTAACTTTTTTTACAGTTGGTCTTGGTTCATTATTATATACAATACTATTGTAATTATTATTACCTAATATTTGTTCATATGTTTTAGTAACTGGATTTGGAATATTATTATTATTTTTGGTATAATAGTTGTTGATTTCGGATATAATTTTTACACCGGATAAATAACTGTCTGTGTAAATTGCACCGCCATCTTCACCTGAAAGTTGTTGTAAAAACCACCAATCCACATCCTTGGTGGGGATCATACCATTATATTTATTTCTTGCATCGCCTTGATACACATTTTCTGTGGTTATACATCTTGGTGCTTGAGATACTACAAAATTGTTACTATTAACAAAAAATAAAACTAATATTATTAAAGCAAAATTAATATTTATTAGTTTCATTATATGTTTGTTTTTTTTTTATTTGTGGTTTATAAAAAAATTATTTATTTTACATTTTTTTTATTTGTGCGATTATAATTTTATATGCGATGTGCTATTTTAAATTAAAAATTTTGTTTAAAAAAAATTAAAAAAAAACACTCGTATTTTTTCGTGATATGGTGCGAACGAGTAAAATCAATGATTAATAAAAAAAAAAAAAACACAAAAACAAAATTTTTTAGTTTTTTTTTTTTGTGGGTTTTATAAAATTCGTTTTTCTAAAATACTATTTTTAGATTTTTATATAAAATCACTTTTTTTTTTTTTACCACAACGATTGAAATAAAAATAAATGGGATAGATTTTTTTTGTTAATGGTTTTATTACCATTATTTAATTATAAAAAAAAAATATCTGGTTTGAGAAAAAATTGAAAAAAAAATTAAAAAAAAAAAATTAAAAATTTATATTTTTTTTCTTTGTGCCGTTGTGGGTGATAATGTGCAAAATAATAATAATTTTATATATAATTATTGATAATATGCAAATAAGTAAAGTTTTTTTAAAAATAAAAAATTAATTTTATTATTTAAATAAAATAATAAATTTAATCATTAGTTACCTTAATAATTTTTTTACTATTCGATGATTCTTGAATTATGCATTTGTCTAATTTTAACACAGAGTGATTATCTTTCGACCAATTTATTTTACTCTAAATTCAAATAAATGAATTATATAATACAGTGACCTGAAGATATATCTAAATTTTATTAAACCATTATGATTTACCAATAATAATTTTTGTATGAATAACTTTACCTTAAAGATTAATCAATCATTAATTTTTAAAAATAAATTGTAAAATAAAAAAATAAAAAAAAAAATTTTAAAATTTTAAAATTTTTTTTTAATTTTCATTTTTTTTTTTTAATTTTATACTTTTTTAAAAAAAATAAAATTAAAAAATTAAAAGAAATATAATGGTATTATTTTCATTATTTGTATTTTTATGTTTGGCTGTGAACACAGCTAAAGCAATCGTTATTGGTATCGATTTAGGCTCACAAACCTTTAAAGTAGCTGTTATTGGACAAAATAAATTCGAAACTGTTTTAAATGACCAATCAGGGATGATCATCTTGGTTCTTTAGTGTATTGAAATTTTATGTGAATAGTGCATCCATTTTTATTGAGTGTGATGGTAGTATATATAGTTAGTGTGGTTGCGGGTGTGGGTGGTGTCTTAATACAAATAAAAAATTAATTTTTTGTGTGTTTGGGGGTTTGATAGTTTTTGGAGTTAAGAGAATACTATTATTTTTATTGTGAATCTTTATTATGAATAAACTCTATATTATTTTATTATCTAACACCCTTTATTTGAATTGAAAAATAAACCTAAGAATGGAACAATTTTACCCCATGCAATATTGCTACCATCATTAACACATTCTTCATTATTATATTGGTTGTTGTTGATGTTGTTAACTGCTCTAATATAAATTGATTGTCTACTCGAATTCAATAGAATTTTATTTTTTTATTTATTGAATTTCATCCTATTGATGTAATGGATTCTTTTTTTTTATATGTTATTTTTTTATAATGAAAAAAGGGGTTTTTTTGTACAATAACAAAGTGTGGGTGTTGATTTTAAAATTAAAGGATAGAGAGATAATTATAAAATCTAATAATGAAAAAATAATAAATTGTGAAGGAAATAAAAAATTAAAATTATTAGGGGTGTGCATTAAATGAGTGTATAAATTGTTTAATGTTTAAGTGGGTAGGTTTTATTTTTTTATATTTTTTTATTTTTTTTTTTTATTTTTTTTATTTTTTTTTTTTTTGTTTGAGTTTTAATTTTAAATTAAATTAAACTTTTGTTATTTTATAAATTAATATTTAGTACACTAATTTATTCAACAAATACAGTTATATAAAACATATAAAAAAAAAAATAATTTTTTATATCTGAAATAAATAAAAAAAAAATTTTTAATATCTTTGTCATATGTTTAATTTTTTTTTAAAAAGAAATTTTAATTTCTTCACTAACTTGGTAACTATATTAATGTAATTCTAATTTAATATATTCAATATTTAAATTCTATTTCTTTTTCTACTTTTCCATCATTTTAAAAAATTCTTCATAATTCCACAGAAATAACATTAATATTAATTTTAAAAAGGTAACTATTGGCATATTATTTAATCACTACGTTTTGATCATTTTTGTGATAAAATTTTAATTAAGGCTTGTTTTATTGTAACCAAATTGGTGTTAATTTTCTATTATATATTGTTCTTTTTCCCAAAAAATATAAATTTAGAAAAAAAAAAAAAAAAATAAAATATTTTAAATAATTAATAAATAATTTTTAAATTTAACAAATAATAAAAATAATAATAATAAATAATAATTTTAAAATAACACAAACAATCTTTGGGAGTGTTAAAATTTAAAAAAAAAATGTGGGGTGGAACAATGAAAATTTTTTTTATTACTATAATAATAAAATAATAATACAGTATTGTTTTTTGATTTTAATTTTATTTTTTATAAGTTTTAAAAATTTTATTTTTTTTAATTATTTTTTTGATTTACTTTAATTCTATTTTTTTTTTTTTTATTGTTTTTATTTTCATTTTTTTTTTTTTTTTTTTCATTCTTTTAAAATCCTTTATCATATAAAGACAAAATTTGGTTAATATTTAAAATATACTGATTTTTTTTATTATTATAATTGCAGTGTATAGGTTTGCTATTTGGTTTCCAAATGAAAATATAGTATTTTAGATATCTGATGGTGATTAAAGAAGAAAAAAAAAGGTTTGAAGAGAATTAAAAAAGATTTATTCTCCATGGGTTTAGGGAAGATGTCAAGGTTTTGTCCTTCATACGGTTTAAATTTAACCATATAATATTATAATTTATTTTATTTTATTTAAATTTGAACAAGTATTAATTTCTTAAAACACTTGTGTTCAGGTCGTTTGAAGCATTAATTTGCTGTGATCAGTTAAGATAGGATATGTTGGAGATACAGACATGTGTCTCACACCTAATTGAGGTAACAACTGACTATCCCTAATCTACTTTCTTTAATGAAGGCTTTGGTTTTTTTAATTAAAAACAAAGTGTAGATTTGCTAATTAGAATACCGTAATTCCAGAACATTACTTTTTTTTTAAAATTTTCTTTATATTTTTGTTATCTCGCTTGCTGCCATTATCTTTGTTCGTCTTGGTTGCTGCGATTATCTCCAAACGCTCTTCAAAAGTTTATTTACAATAATGGAGGGCTTTCAACCGTATTAAAGTATACTTTGATATACCAAAGCGCTGGTCCTTTATATATATAAATAAAGTTATATTTCTCCCATTTATACATAATATTATTTTTAAATTTTTTTTTTTTATTATAAATTTTTTTTTTTAAAAATTATTTTTAATTTTAGATTTGCAAACACACATAATAAAAGAAATAATATTAATATAATTATAAAAAAGGATCTTATTACACAAGTTCAAGACAAACTAGACCATTTGTTATATGTTTTTGGTACATGTATAGGTGTTTTACAAAGAGATGCCCCTCCTTCATCATTTACAACAACAACTACCACTTCCCTAGGGAAGTTCCACCAAAAATGGCAATACAAGTTATTGAAACATCAAAACTAATTGAATAATATATAGAAAAATTGCCAGGTTTCGATAAAATTTGAAGACGAACAATATGAAGATTTAAAAAAATTTAAATAATGAATCAAAAGAAATTTTCGGCGCAACATCAAATGTCAAGAAATGAAGCTAGTAAGTAAATTATATTTCTAAAAAAAATATACATAATTATATTAATATAATTTTTTTTTAGGCCGAAGTTTTTAAAATTGGTTAAAG